GAGGGAGAAGAGACTTACATGTGAAACAAGCTTGTTCCCTAACTTGAATAAATAAAAAACAAACAAAAAAGTGCCTGATGAAATAATAATTTATTAACTTCTCTTGAGCTGTAAACCATTTTTAAAAATAAAAGTAAAAACAAAAACAAAAAACAACCCAGGAGAGGATTTGTGTCTTCATTTGCTTTATAATGTTATATAGAACTTAGTCTAGTGCCTATTTAGATGATCAACTGTTATTTCTTGGTTCAGTATCAAAACCCTTCGGGTAACTCACTTTACAAACTTTACTGACACAAAATTCTTATACAATTCACCTATTTACAGTGAACATGCAATTTAGTGGTATTTAGTATTTCTTCCAAGTAGTGTACCCCTTATCATAACTAACATTTTTATCACTGCAAAAGAAGCCCCACACTATTAGTGGTCATTCTTCTCTACCCAGCCCTTTCTACTTCGTCTGATTTACCATTCTGGACATATCAAATAAACTGAATCCTGTAATATGTGGTCGTTTGTGGCTGGTTTCTTTCCTGCAGCATAGTGTTTATATTGGTTAGCTCTGTCAACTCAACATAATCTAGGATTACCTGGAAAAGGAGTCTCAATGGGAGTGCTGGTCTATAGGCATGTCTTGGGGGGAGTTATTTTCATTATGTTAACTGAGGTGGGGGAGACCTGCCCAATGTGAGTAGCACCATTCCCTTGGAAGGGGATTCCAAACTAAGAGTAGAGAAAGCAAGCTAAACATTAGCATGCATGCATACATTAATTTATTGTTCATTGGTGCTGATCGTGGATGTAATGTAACTAATTCTATCAAGCTCCTTCTACTATGAATTCCCTGCCATGATGGAATGTAATCTGAAATTTAGAGCCAAATATATCCTTTCTCCCCTAAGTTGCTCTCATTAGGGCATTTTATTGTAGCAAAAAGAAAGGTTTTCTATGTTCTAATATGAGCCAGTAGTTCATTCCATATATTTACACTTCATAGTATAAAAATAATTTAACTAATAGCCATTGTACAAATATACCACATTTTCTTCATCCATTTATCAGATGATAAACATTAAAGTTGTTTACACTGTTTTGTTATTATGAATAATATTGCTATGAATATTCACGTCTACATTTTTGTGTAAATATGTTTTTGTTTCTCATGTACCTAGGAATAGAAAAGTGATGAACTATACAGTAACTGCAAATAAACACTTGAGAACTGCCATATTATCAGAACAAGACTTTTTAGTTTTTCCTTTACAATTTCCAAAAATCAGATGAGTGCATATACAATATTCTCAGCTACATACCACCTTCCTGAGATGAATAAACACTGTGCATAAAGAATAGACTTGCTTAAGATTCAAGAGGTGAGCAAAGGAAGAAAAGGGAGAGAAATAAGCACTAGAGAATTTAAATGTTAATATTTGACATTACCATCTTAAAATAATACAAAGGTAAGAACAGGGTATGTTCAGACTCTAAGTTCATTTACCTTGCACTGCCACCAAATTAGATTTTTATATTCTAATTATCTAATATTTGTCCCAACATTAAAAATTCACATCTCATTAAACTTTTAGAATTAAGCACCAAAGACAGACATTGGACAAATTATGACAAGATACAATAAAATGAAAACAAAAAGGAGATAGTAGTAAGATCAGAAAATAATTTTAAGAATTAGAAGTGTGAAAATAGACATTAAAGTGGGGGTGAATTTTTACCCCCCCCCAAAAGTTAGAATTTAAACTACAGTGAATTTGCATTTTCCCTAGGACATAACAAACCTCATCAATTACATGTAAAATATTATTTTGAGGGGGAAGAGAGAGAGAGAGAGAGAGAGAGAGAGAGAGAGAGAGAGAGAGAGAACGAACCAGTTCTTTTGCTTTGGCTGGTCTACTAAACAATGCTACATCTCCACCTAGTGACGTGACAGCACAAAAGCTGACCATGAACTTTTAAGACCCCAAATACTGAAATTTACAATGCTTCACTATCTATGTACAAAGTCAATACACCTCAACTCCTCCAGGTACATAATAATTTTAAATATTGAACTTCCTTTCACTATAAAACACTGACAGAAACCAAACCTATTAAATGTTCCAATTATCCATGGCATTAGCTTTGCTATTACTGTGAGTATGATGTACTGAAAACATGCTAGGCATATACAATGTGTGGAGGACACTGGAGTCCAAATAAAAACAGCCAACTTCAAACTCACTATGGTTCCTAAAATCACACATGAATAAAAATATTTTAGTTTCACTATACACTGCCGTGGATCAATGATACAATTAAGAATTAATTTATTATTCTTGAAAATCTTAAAACACTGCACTATAGATTTTTTCATATACCAGCCAGACAATTTTTTATTAAAAATTTATATCAATATGCATAAATTCTCACAGGATACTAAAATGCTTTGGATAAAATACATAAATATTAAACATCTGATTAAGGGCTGGGGGTGTAGATCTGTAGAGTACTTGTCTAGTTTACGAAAGGCCTTAGGTTTAATATCAAATGCCATAAAAGCAAAAAAATAAAGCATTTGCTAGATAACAAACCTTTGGCTAATGATAAAGTTTTCACTATTCAGTCAATTACACTAACAGAAGGTGTTCCTTTTAGTTAGATTGGAGGTTAGAGTCCCAAAGTGGCAACAAAGGATTAGCAAATTTCAAAAGAGTGTAGATTATTACTAATTAGCCTTTTGTGTAAGGTCTAGTGTAAAGAGTTCAGATTATGAAATATATTCCTGGAAATTCTGAGGCAGTGTCTCTGTTTTGAGGCCTAGGGACAGACATTTTAAAAAATCAGCAAGTAGGCCAGGTATTGTGGTACAAGCCTTTATCCCAGCACTCAGGGTTAGAAGGTAGAAGCAGGTGGATCTCTTGAGTTTGAGGCCAGACTTGTCTACACAGAGTTTCAGGACAGCCAAGTAATTCTGGAGAGACTCTAGATTAAGTGACCACTTGCTTGAAAAGTCAAGGCTATATGACATATTACTGCACTGTCTCTCCCATGACACAAATGATCACGTTGCTACTGGGTGTTTGGCAGCACTAAAACAGGGCATTCTTTGCTTAAGTAAGTAATTCAACATAAAAATTAAAACCATTTTCAAAATCCCAACAACCAAAATTCAGCTACTGGTATGGAAATTTCCTTTACACCTTGAGTTTTTGTAAGCTCTCTTTACAGTTAAGTTCTCTAAATAAAAAGTTAATATTTTAAAATTAGAAATCAAAGTTTATGAAAAGATATTGCCGAAC